CTAGTTGCTCTTTCATTTTTTTATGAGTTTTGTTTTTTCATTTGAGCCTGTTTCAATAGCAAACACTCCTCCTTCCGGTGGCTATATTTTCCATAGTTAAAGCAAACAACATCCAAAGCTTCATATTCAAGTTTGTAAACTCAATTCCTAATCACAAATCTAGATTGTAGTGTCTTGTTTAGATTTCCTTCAATGCTGACTCTAGCAAAACGTCCTCTCTCCACATATATGCCATTATTTCTACAGTGCACTAATGTATTCATGTCCACTTTCAAGGCCCTACCTATCATATTTCCTAGTTTCGGCATGAACTCCTCGATGTAACAATGTATGGGAAGAGTAGGGACCCTTACCCAAACTGCAAGTTTACTCACAATGTTACTATAAGGGTTAAAGTTTGGGCTCTACCTCTATACCACAAGATAATGTCCCTGTATCAACTAAAGTCCTTTAAATAAAAGCTTCTGAGATAGTAGCTGTTCTGATGCTCTGAAAGCAAAATAGTTGTTAGGAAGATCAATAAGTTTGAACTGTGTGGATTTAAGGATCTACTCAAGCTTTTCTTTCATGATCTTTAAAATCACACTTTTTCCCAAAACCGTTAACACCATAGTGTCTTTCCACAACATGTAAAGTTTTTTTAGATGATTATCATGCATGTCTATCTTTGGCAGGTTGTTAAGAATCACTTTTTGCTTTTCTAATAGGTTTGGTGTCAACCTTTCTTCCTCTATTAACCATTCCTCCATAAGCTCCTCGAAATCTTTCTCAACCTTGAAGTTTTCTTTCCCCACCAGTTTTTCTTTATAAGAGATTTGTGATTTCATTGGTTCTTTTTTACAGACTTCTCTTTATTATTCTCTATTATAACTTCTTCCTTCTCAATGTCTTTCATCTAGGTATCATTATGTTCTTCCTGGTGTTCCTTCATATCTACATCTCCTTCTCTTTTTCAAGTGTTTCGAGCTATCACATCCTTATCTTGCTTAGATAATCCTTTTCTTCCACTATTGTCTTGGAGTTGCCTATCGATGTTCCGTGCCCTATCCCATTCTCAGTCACTCTCTCACTACTCTCTCTCATCTTTTATTAATTACAATTTAAAATATTAAAAGTGCCTTCTATTTTTTAATATATAAATCATGTAAAAATGCCTTATATTTTTTTAACGGTACACGTTTTCATTTTTTTCTTGGTTTGACGTATTATATACATTTTCATGCACTTTACTTTTTGCCGTTGCTTCTTGTCCCTTGTTCGAGTTGTTTTCTTTTTTTTAAGGGATATATCCTCAATGGATTTTGCTAAGTCTGCACATCAGCTGATGGGCTGCGAACTATTTTCAATTGCGATTTAGTTATCATAATCTACTTTTTATTTTTATTTATTTTTTAGGCAAAAAAAAGATATTTCAACTGGCTAGTTGATTGATTGATCAAATATAGTACTCCTTCCGTTTTAAATTATAAGATATTTTTAGATAAAATTTTACATACTAATAAACCTCATTAAATACACTTAATAACCTTATCTTTTTAAAATAAAAATATAAATTTTTAAAAATACCCATCATTTAATATACTAAAAAGAGAAAGGATGAAAATTAATTATAAAGAGAGAAATGATAAATTTAAAATTGATGCATTTAATAAAATCTTAATACACTTAAAGTGTCTTACACTCCCTCTGTCCCTATATATAAGATGTTTTTAATCGAATCATGCAAATTAATAAAAGTTGATTATCTAATTAAAACCACAGCAACATTTCAATTTTGCCCCTAATTATTATAAATAAAAAATAAAGCTATTTTTTCAAAACAAATTAACGAGAGTACTTATATTTTTTTCTCTTTTTAATTTAATAAGGGTATAATGGTTCATTCATTAAAAAATATACTAACAACCCTTTATATTTATAAATAAAAAAAGGTTATAGAAGACTTTTTATATATAGAGATTGGGGGAGTATTTTTAAATTAAAATTTTTTTAAAAATATTTTATAATTTGAGATGAAAGAAGTAATTAAAATGTCAATTGATCATATTCATTTCATACTTGACGAAACACACCGGCTTGGAAAGTGGGACCCCGTCTTCATCGGTAATTCATCGGTGGCAACTTTGATATATTGGGAAGATTTTAACGTATTCCTTCCAGTCAAATTAAAATTAGTGCATTTTAAATTTAAAATTTATTTTAAAATGCCAATGAAAAATCTAAGGACAGAATGAGTAGTCCCCTAGGTTAATTAAAAAAATTAGTTTGAGTTAACAATTTAGATTAATTTTTCATGCTGATTTGTAGAGTATTCCCTTTGTTCAAGATACTTTACATTAAATTATATGTTTAATAAATTAGTTAGTTATCTTTAATATTGCACGTTCTTGTTATTTAATATGATATTTTAATTAAAAAAATTTATTAATTAAACTTCCAATTAAGGATATTTAAAAAAATCTTATTAATTATATTTTTTGATCGAACTTATTAATTATATTTTAAAATATTCAAAATGCCTTGTAATTGTAATTAGAAAAAATGTTTTATTTTTTAAACTGAGGACATGTAGATAACTAGCCTCAGCTCGGAGTAATTATGTACAGAAAATCAAATTCAAACTCAAAATATAAATAAAAAGCGATATCAGTAAATCATCGAGTAACAGCATTCACTTGTTTCAATTTTACATGCAATGATGATTTAAAATTATAAGAATTTAAAGTAGCGAGTTAACTATTTAAAATAAAACAGTTAGTAATCCAATCAATAAATAATAAAATAACAGTATCTATCCAGGAAATGAAAGTTATATATGAAAAAGTGTTAAGTAAATCGATGTATCATATTATTCATGATCTGTTCAATTATAATATTTAAATCTTTTAAATAAAATTGTATATGATATTATTTTAATTAATTTTATTTTTATAAAAGAATACATATTTAATTTATTATCTTTTATCTTCTTATTATCATTAATACTAAAATCAATTTATATTTAATATAATCTAAATATTATGTTTTTACTGAATAAATCACAAATAATATAATGCATCACATCTACCTAAAATTTTTTCGAAATTATACGCATTCTCTTAGCCATACTATAAATAATTCTCTCCACTTCAAAATATAGCTACAGGTTACCTGCACGACACTAGGTAAATCTGTTGAAAAATTATAGTATCTGTTTCATAACTACCCTTATTAAATTTAAAGATGACATTAATTAACTACTTACAGATCACAAATTTTCTCGTGGATAAGTGCAACTTAAGGGGAAATAATGTTTTAGATATTTTTTAATGTCATTAAAGAGGATTTATACTTTCAACGAAAAGAGAGGGGGAAAAGGATCTAAATTTTTAATTTTGGATGAGAGGAAATAATAACATTAATGAGTTTTTTGTCACATGAAATGATAGTGTTAACGAGTTTTTTTTTTTAACAAAAGTCTAGATTGGATTCAGTAAATATTCTAAAAATACCTACTCAATGAGTGTTTTAATTATAGCTGTTATATTTCCTCAAAATTTAAAAAGTATTAATATATTTTTTAAAAAAATTCAAAACAATTAACACTGTCAGAATATTTCTTACTTATGATGTCTCCTCAAAAAATTTAAAATCTAATATTTTTTAATATTAAATAACAAAATCATTGACAACCATCATATTAAATTAAATAGTTAGCATCGTGCTATATAAAACACTCTTCGAACGATTGGATCTCCAAATCCTGATCCTGTAAATCTTAGTGGAAATGAATGAATCTGGATCATCAACGTCAACAAGCCTGCACAGACCTGCCCACTCCTCTTCCTAAGCTTATTCACGAAGATTTTTGCGAAGTGCTGTATTATTATGATGCTCATGGGAAAAAAAAGCTGATAAATTTTGAGTTTTGAGTCGTGTTACTGGATATCAATCCATCGTTGTCGTTTTTCTATAATGGTTGCTTTTGTTCCACCAGATCAATCATTTCCCGGAGCTTGTCTGGAAACATGAATATATATATGTGTGTATATATATATATATATGTATGTATGTGTATATATATATATATGTATGTATGTATTTTTTTTTTTTTTTTAACAAGAGAACCCGTTTTTTTTCCTTCTTTTTTTTGGTCATGTGGCACCATAAACGTTAGAGTCAAAATACATTTTAAATTTTAATGGAGCATAATTCATTCATAAAATATAACATAAAATGCTAAAGCGTATTTATGATTCTCTAACTTTATACAAAATTTCATCATTTGATTTTATTAAATATTTTCTCAATCCTCCAACCTTGATATCGTTAATTTTAAATAATTATTTTTTATTAATCATGGTTTTTTTAAAAAATTAAATTTAATATGTTAATATTAAACATGTTTTGTCAATATTTAAAAGGTTAATATAAAAAATTTTTTGTTAATAAAATTAATATTATTAGGATTAAGTAATTGAAAATATACTTATAAAGGGAGAATTTCAACTATGGATCAAAGATGTGATTTATATGATTATTGACAAGTCATATAATATAATTTATAACTCATATTAGTAAATTAATAAGTAAAGTAAAAAAATTAATAAATGAATGACACTTTAGTATTTTCACCATTAAAATTATTTTCACTTCAATCCTCCTACATTGAATTAAAGTTTTAACTTTTTTTTTAAATTTACTAATAATTAAGTCACATCTTTAGTCTTTAATTGAAATTCTCTTTTTTATAAAATTGTAATACTGAGATAAAGTTTTATATAAAGTTAAAGCATTATAAATATACTTTACTCAAACTAAAATAAAAAAGCTACAGCAGATATCGTTGCAAACTATATTTGAAGAAAGTATAATACAAAACAAAATAAAAGGGGTGCCCAATTTTTGAAATGAAAGGATGAAGCCGTTGTTTTCATTGTATTGAAAAGGGGGGGAAAGGGATGAATCCGTTGCCACGTGCCATATCAGATATCACAACGGCTACTTTCACTGGGGAACTATCCGTTGGCCTCATCATCATCAATTCCTTCCCCGGCATAAATCATTTTCATCTGCTTTAGATTTTCAATCTTATTTGCATATTTTTTGCTTCCAAAGTCTGATCGTTGGCTCTCTCATACAGCGAGCTTCCTCCAAAATAGGTCTTTCCTTTCTCCACCTCAAAAGGTCTTATCCCGGTACAATATCCTCGAGCCTGTTCGCTGATTCCAATTTCGTAACTGATTTGAAATTCATCGTTGATTCTATGCTCAACACATGTGGTGAGATAAATTTCTAATTTTGACCGTCGATTTTTGCAGGAGTTTGGTGATATCTCGGAAGCAAAAATGAACGATCTAATGACCAAATCATTCACCAGCTACGTGGATTTGAAGAAAGCCGCCATGAAAGATGTGGATCTGGAAGCTGGTCTTCCTCCCAATGACGTAGAACTGAGCTCTTCAACAACCAACATGGATACTGACATGGGTCTGTTCCTAGAAGAGGCAGAGAAGGTGAAAACGGAGATAGGTCATCTCCAAGAAATATTGAGCAGGTTCCAGCAGGCCAATGAAGAGAGCAAATCCCTTTGCAAGCCCGAGGCCCTAAAATCCTTAAGGAACAGAATCAATGCTGACATTGTCACCATGCTCAAGAAGGCTAGAACCATCCGGTCCCAGCTAGAAGAAATGGACCGAGCCAATGCTGCTAACAGGAGGCTATCTGGCCTCAAAGAAGGAACTCCAGCGATTTACAGGACCCGAATCGCCGTCACCAATGGACTCCGCAAGAAACTGAAGGAGATAATGATGGAGTTTCAGGGACTGAGGCAGAGAATGATGACGGAGTACAAAGACACAGTGGGAAGGCGATATTTCACAGTAACAGGGGAATACCCAAATGAGGAAGTCATAGAGAAGATAATCGCAAATGGAGGCGAGGAATTCTTGAGCAAGGCAATACAAGAGCACGGTAGGGGAAGGGTTCTGGAGACGGTGGTGGAGATACAGGACAGGCATGACGCAGCTAAAGAGATTGAGAAGAGCCTGCTAGAGCTGCACCAGGTGTTTCTGGATATGGCTGTGATGGTGGAGGCACAGGGCGAGAAGATGGATGATATTGAGCACCATGTGCTTCATGCTTCCCACTATGTCAAGGACGGGACTAAGCATCTGCAGACAGCAAAGAAATACCAAAAGAGTAGTAGAAAGTGGATGTGTATTGGATTGATACTTCTCCTGATTCTCATTCTCGTAATTGTCATCCCCGTCGCCACCAGTCTCAGCAGTTCTTGAAATGATGCCTTCAGGGGGTAATTCTTAGGTGTTTTGTTTCATTCTTCTTGGCAGTTTCTTCAAAGTTGAGCTGTACTTCGACCCATCGTCGTTGGATTGCCAGGATTATGTGTTGTGATTCCATGAAATTGTTAGCTTGAGTTTTTTATTTGAGTGAATCGATTGATTATTCTACGGCATTTACATTGACCCAAGGGCATGGTCTTTTCTAACCGCCCGTTTTCTTGAAAAACATATAGCAAATGTTGTTAAGTCCATTTTTTGCACATTAATTTACCCTGGCTCAATCCATGCTCATAAAGGTTAATTTAGACTCCTTATATGGGTTTAATATGGCCCATCGGGTGAAAAAAATATCAAAAGCCACGCCCCTTGACAACTCTGGCCAAGCCCATGAGCGTATTTGGGTGAAGAATGGAAGAAGTCTGTGGATAAATTCGGGTTGGGATGGGGCATGGATGGATAAACTGAAGAAACCTGCTCATCTAACTAGGAATGGTGTGATCCATGGAAGGCAGAACGTTGAATGAATGAATTGATGGTCGTGTACTTAACCTACGACGAATGGATGAATGAACTGATGGTCGTGTACTTAACCTACGACGAATGAATGAATGGATGATGCACCGTGCACGTAAGTCGTGACACATTTCCTTCAGCTTTGTGCTGGGATATGATTTTTTTTTTTTTCCAGTCTTTGGATCAATCTTGAAGTAATCTAAGGTGGGGGAGTGAGATTTTGAGTTTTGACCCACGAGGAGCCAGACGGAGTTCATTCTTTTATACTAGTAATAATAATAATAATAATAATAATAATTCTTTTTTTCTTCTCATGTTTCCTCCTTTCGGGAATTTTAGTATTGTTCGTCGCTTTTTCTATTTCTTTCTGTGGCTCCTAGTTAGGAGTACAGAGCACTGCAAGTATGATTAGCTTGATCATGCTATTGTTGTAATTTGCTATCGTTCAGCTGAATGAAAAAAAGGAAAAGAAAAGGAAAAATAATCTTGATTTATAAATTTCTTTTTTCAATTAAATCTATTTTTTTCTTGTCCTTGTTTTGTATTTTATGACTAACCACTACCATATCATTTAATTCATAAATAAGCGTGGTAAATTTAGAGTTATCTATTTAGACCTTTCAAACGAGATATGAACCTTTTAAATGATATGTTACTTCGTGCTCTGTTTTTCAGATAAGGAAAATATTAAATACTTATTTCCAGAGATGTAAAACCTGACCTGACCATATAATTGTTGAAGAAAACTAACCCTATAATTATTTCCCTCAATATATAACGAGGGTTTGAACTTTGAAATATTAATATCTACCTATGCCTCGTCTTATTCTTATCACTTGAATTAGGTTTAGACTTTAGATTATGGTTGCCGTAAAATGATTACTGTCCATGTAGTTTAAAATGCAATATAGAGGCCGCAACGGAAAATCGAAGAAGCCATGCGACATGATCTGAAATGCATTTTGAGTGGAGGGTGGGGATTAAACTTCATGCATTCCATGCCAAGTCACGGGTTAAGGCAATATTAGAGCTGTTTGAAATTATATTTATTTTATTATTTTGAGAATTGATGTTTTATAAAAAATGTTTTGAAAACAAAACAATAATAATAAAAGGTATTTTTTTATTCTTTTTTAGTTTTCAGAACAATAATATTAGAATACCTAATTATTTTCATTTTTCTATTATCTAGAATAATATTTTATTTTAAAAAAATTAATCACTTGGTCCCAATAATTTTGATTTAATTGTAACTAAATTTTTAAATTTTGACTTGATTGTAAATTAATTCCTGAACTTTGCCTTTGCAATTTAGTTCATAAAGTTTCAACCTCTTAATATTGATCAATATTTTAAAATTGATTACTAACATATTAAATTAACAAAACCTTTTAATATTTATAAACATTAAAAGTTTAAAATATTTTTAATCTTTATCATTTTATTTTTTAAATATAAAAATTAATATTTAAAAGGTTAAAAACTTAAGGGAAAAAAAAAACAAACAAAAAAACTCATTGGATTGTTTTCCCAATAGATTGGTCTTGATCTTTTTTTTAAAAACATTTTCTGGTTTTTTATCAAATTATTTTTTTAAAAAAATCCAAATAAAAAATCATGAACTCTTGCCAAAGTAACTTTTGATAAATAAATTTTTTAGAAAATACAAGGAGTCCCTGTATTTGAAGTGTGCCCAGTTTTTATTTTCTTATAGTTTTATTTCATTATTCTCAATGCTTTTAATTTGACTCATTTATAATGTTAGTTTTCCTATTTTTTTAAAAATACACATCATGATTATGAACTGATGGAGGTAATTTTTCTAATGTGTACTTGAGTCGTGTGTGTGTGTGTGTGTGTAAGCTTTTTACCCTGACATTTTATTTTACGTGAAATTAATTTCTGGGATTGAGATCAGAACATGACTTTAGATTAAAAAAGTATTTATAAAAGTACTTATATATTGGGTTCTTACACTAATAGCAGATATAATTCCACCAGTTCATGGGCGAAAATTTTTAACAAGGGGGCCAAATTTTGTTGGTGATCCTAAGTATTATCCATGGAGAGTGACAAGAGATGCCACGTAACACGTATGTAGGTTGGTCCAGGTTCCAAGTGCGATGACCGCCACCTGCACACTTCCTCTCCAGCTTGGTGAATTTTTCATATCATTCAAAATTGGCTCTACATATTATGGGTCTTGCTCATCACCCTCTTTGGACTTTGTATAGTGCTCAAGCGAGGGGGGGTAACTTTGGCTAGTTGAATTTTTGACAAATAATGCTTAAATTAAATGATATAAAAGAATGAACAATATCACCAAATATACTGAGAGTAAGAGAAAAGTGCAAGAATATTTATCCTAATTCAATTCCGACCACTTAAATGTCCCTAAGCTTCACTAGAAAAATTGTTTACCAAATCCACCAAGATTAATTCAAGACCTTGATCTTCTCAATACCATCTTAGATAATAAGTCTAAATTACTCACCCTTACAAAAGGTAATGATTATCCCTACTTAAGCTTCCTAAGCTTAAATCTTCTGTTCTTAAGTATGAAAAATAGAGATAAATAAAAAAGTTCATAAAATGAACTAGTACTATGAATACTCTCTCAAATAGTTGATTTACAATCAATAAAGTGTAAAGATAATAATTGAGTAACAAAAGGTTGGTAAGCAATAAATAAGGTAGTTTGCGCAATTAACTCTAATGCGTTTGCCCTCTAATGCGTTTGCCTTCATAAGTAAGTTTATTTATAGTTAAAACATTGAAAGATCGATTAGACTCATTGAGTTAGTGGTTGGAGTGTTGAGTTTTTCTTTCCTCTAAGTTTCTCTGAAAATGAAGGCGTTACACAGTACTTTTCGATTGAGTTTCTCGCTTAATGGCTAAATCCATTTAATGCTTTGATGAAAAATAGGTGAAAAGAATGCCAGTAGAGCACATGCAATACAAATAATTGATAATACTTTATTATTTACAACATGTCTTATCTTATTTGGATCATTATTCATGCCTAAATGCATTCATATTATATCCATTATGCATATTTGCCTAAGTCTAAATGTTGCATGCAGTAAAGTATTTTGGTCATAAAATTAACTTTTCATAATTGTGAGGTTATGCATTGGAATTATATATTTTAATGGGCTAAGATAATTGATCAAATTATTTTTATTTATTCATCATAGGTTAGGTGTTACTTAAAAAACATAATTTTAAGGTTATCTTTTTAAGAAGTTTTCTCTTAGCTTTAGATTTTGATTCAAATGTGTGCATTTTTGCACTTGTGTCTTGACAGGCTTCTCTATTCACATTCCCTTGGTCATTTTATTACCTAGGTATAATTAATATTTTTTACATTAATTCAATTAAATAAATGTCACACTATAATTAATTGATTATTTGGTTAAATTGTGATATGAGTGAATTAATGTGAAATATGTGTACATGTTTCAAGGCAAATCAAAGAGGCTTTCAAGGGGCAAAAGTGGCAAGAAATGTACGCTCATGAGGGTGCAAGTTAAGCAAGTAAAAGTGCATTGCATTGGATGGGAAGATCACATAGGAATTATCACCATTTTCCTTTAGAATTAGCGTTAGTTTCAGCCAAGCCAATTCTAGTTGGAAGACTAGAACTACTTGAAGAGTTTCCTAACTTTCCTTCACTTTCCTTCATTTTCTCCTCTGCCAATTTTGTATCGCATCTCTTCTATTTAGATTTCTCTTAATTTTCTCATCTTCAAACATTTTTCTCTTTACCTCTCCACCAAATCACACAAGGCAAATCTCATCCTTCTCCTCTCACAATTATCGTCAAAAACCCTCCTAATTATTTAAGGATTGAAGGGTCAAATCAACCAATGAAGGAGTCATCATGTTTAGCCAAATGAGAAAGAACATAGAGAGCTTAACAATGGAAATGGAAGGCCAAAGTTCAAGGAAGATTCCTATGATGAAGATGAAGGAGGTGGGGTCTATATAGTCCACATTTGCTAAGAGCCTTCTAAACCTAGCTTCTTCTATTTTACTTCTTGTTGTAATGCTAGATCTAGGTTGCAACTTGATTGGCCTATGACTCTAATTTGAGTTCATCTTCTTTCCAATGAGAGATTGAGAATCGTTTGATTCTATTCTATTGCTTTGTTTAATGTTGGATTTCGGCCATAGCTTATTAATGCATAATCTTTTGTTAATTGGATATGATACATTAGATTCCTAGGGATCTCCATACTTGTTATAATGGAATCCACTTTTCATTGGCTTAGGTTTTACTTACATTTTGGTAGCTTAGTTCAGCCAACAATCACTACATTTGGATAAGTTGTAATACTTAGGTAACTTTCAACTTCATTTCAGCCATTCCTTGAAAAATATTTAGGTTGCACCCTCTGCTTTATTAGTGTTACACGAGTGCTATTTGCAAGGTAGGTGACTAGCCTTGCTAGTTGTAAAGAATAAAAACATGATGAAATCTCATCCAAGATGTGTTTAGAATGATCTAATACTGCTAAAAAAATATGAATTAATGAGAAAATTTAGCGAGATATTGTCTACTCTTCTTTGAAATGCCAAATTAGCAAGGAATATTAATTTCTTAGCTAGATTTAAAATTAGCGAGGGAATGTCAATCTCTTTTTAAAATAATA